ATGATCGCTTTCACTTATTACTTTTCAATTGGGTTCACTCGATGCCGATATATCATCTTTCGGAAGTAATTTACCGCTCAGCGTGACATTTTTTTCATCTATAAATAACGATCAAATGTTTAGTTCAATAATAATCATAACCAAATATGTTCCTGGAGAGAAATCGAGACATGCTAAGCTCAAATAAAATTAATTATCTAAAGATTAAAGTGCCTATTATTATTGTTATTTTCACTAATTTTATTTAAAATTGGGCAGCCACAATTTGATTTTTGTATCTACTACAGTAGGTTTACATACGTCTTGTATTATTATGTACAACTCATATTTTTTTCATCTTCTGTAAATAATTTTCTGCTTTACGTTCTTTCTGATCAATTGTTTCTATTTGCAATTATTTATTCCCCAAGCTGTACTAAAAGTATAATTATTTTCTCTAATTAACGATGAATTAATAATATTTGTACTTTCTCAACACCTAATCGTGTCCAATTAAGCCAATTACTATTTTTTCCTGATTTTTATTACAATAATCAGAGAAATTCTTTTTAAAAAGTCCTAAGACTTTATTATCTCTTGATTATTGAAGAATTTGACACATTAATAATTTAATATTAGTTTCATTTTGTCGTTTATTTAATAAAAATATAGCTTTATAATTGTACATCAAATAAATTCCATACTTTCAATAAATCTGACGATTTTTTTTTCTGGAGTTAGTGTTTGTAATTAATATTTTTTAGTTAAAATTAAATGTTTTTTTACCTCCTAAATGGTTTATTCACTAATTGTGTTTGTAATTAGATGACGGTTTGTTTTTCATTACTATTTTCTGCACCAAATTACAATTTTTGTAGATTTATTAAATAATTTCATAAATAAAGGTCAATTTAAGCATTGTGAAAAAATATATTTCTGTGTTAAAAACAAACGGTTATCCAGGTTTTCGTGTAAGAATTAGAGAATTTCTAAGAAAAAAGTCTTTGAAGGGGGTTTTTTCTCTTCGAGTCGGTTTATTCGCAAATTGTGTTAGAATTAGACAGATCACATTTGATATTTAATACTATTTTGACTTTTTCTGCATCCAATTACAATTTTTCTAGATTTAATTAACGGATTTAATAAATCGAAAACTTAAAAGTACAATTTTCCAAATTAATTACTTTAAATAAAGAACAATCCCAACGTATTGAAAAAATATATTTCTTAGAAAAATACAAAGGGCTTTCCAGGTTTTCGTGTACGAATTAGAGAATTTCTTAGAAAAAAGTCTTTGAAGGGCGTTTTTTCGCTTGAGTCGGTTTATTCGCTAATTGTGTTCGAATTAGACAGATCACGTTTGATATTTTATACTATTTTGACTTTTTTGCATCCAATTACTATTTTTCTAAATTGAATAAATCAAAAACTTACAACTACAATTTTCTAAATTAATTACTGTAAATAAACAACCCTCCCAACGTATTGACAAAGTATATTTCTTAGAAAAATACAACCGGTTTTCCAGATTCTCCTTGTGCAAATTAGAGAATTTATCCGAAAAAATGTTCCTTCGAGTGTCTTTTCTCTTAATCGGTTAATAGGTTTTAGAATTAGGTTTGCTTTTCTTCATTTTTTTGAGTACATTTTTTTAGAAATTGTTTAGTCCCATCATGAAAATCTGGAAAACCGTTTGTTTTATGCAAGAAATAAACGTATATATACTACGATAAAAGAAAATTCTTTTTCTTCAAATACTTTTTTCTTAGATATTCACCAATTCATACACGCAAACCTGGAAATCCATTTGTTTTTAAACCAAACAATTGTTTTCAATATGCTTAAATTTTCTTTATTTTCTTTCATTTTTTTTAAATTGTTAGTTTTATCTTGAAAATCTGGAAAACAGTTTTTTTTAATCCAAAGAATACACCTATATACACTACGATAAAAGACAAGACTCTTTAAAAACTTTTTTTCTTAGAAATTCGCTAATCCTTACACGCAAACCTGGAAATCCATTTGTTTTTAAACAAAAAAAAATTTTCAATGTGATTAAATTTTCTTTCATGTTTTTTCTTAGAAATTTTTAGTTTCATCTTGAAGTGAAACTTCTTCTTTCTCACTCAATCTCTCAATTTGTCGGCTAACTGTAAAAATAAAAATAACGAGTATCATTTAGCGTTAACGAGTATACAAACTTTTCACACGTTCTATATGATTTATGGCGGTGTAGATAGCCAAGCGAAAATCGAGATGCCACGCCTGTTCGAAATGGTATAACTCGGACAAAAAAATCTAAAGTCTTCATTATCAGATTTTCAAAACGCCGAGTCGAGATATCCTTGAACTTGTGATTTCATGGCGATAGGATTAAAAGATAACATGTAGATCGTGTTTCGTGCTCTCCCCGGCTGTCCTTTGCTGGAGGATATAACAGCTAAATTAATAGACAACCTTATTCTATTTAAAAATTGCCAGCAGGGGATAAATTGCTGTTAAGTGCTTTGGTAGCGTGTTGTGTTCAATCGGGCCAACGAGTCGGTTCGTTGCCCGGCTCCGTTTACTCCTCGGCCACAACCAGTTTTCAATGAAACGGAAAGTGGTTCATCATTTGACCTATCGCTGATAGTCTTTTTCGGAAAGGACTTTTGCTTTTTAGCTGCCTGAGAGACATCGTTTCTTCTTCCACTTTCCCTCTCGGAGCATCGCACTGTGACGTAAACTTACACACTTAAAAACATTATCCTATAAAACTTAAAAAATGCCTCTTTGAACCCTCATACCTACTATCCTATTGTGCATGCTAAAACCCCATTCTTCACTTTAATACAGTAATCATTAATTTTTCATCTCAACCAAGACCTAACATAAAAATAATAATTAATGGAAATAAGTAATTTGGTCAATTAGACCTCTAAACATAAATGGATTATTATTTAATAAGTAGAAGTATTACTTCACTAACAGCCCCCTTGGCCACTTCATTTGTCGCTGAGAATCGAATCCTGATTACACGACATTTGAAAAACAAAAAGGTAGGAAAATTCGAAAGATTTTAGGTTAAAATGAGTAGTTGGTGTTCGAGAGGATCGAAGTCACGATAGCTCAAGAGGTAGAGCAAAGGCGTATTTAGCCGAAGGTCGTGGGTTCGAATCCCGCTCGTGACACCAACTTTTTCATCTCAATCAAAACCTTATATAAAAAGCATAATTAACTGGATTAAGTAATTTGGTCAATTAGACCACTAAACGTAAATGGTCATTTAACTTGGTAATATTTAATTAATCATTAATTTTTTTAATGATTACATTTGAATTTGGCTTATCGATTCCGTTCTGTCCAATTTGATTTTTGTGTTTCGGGTTTTGTCAATAAAGTTAAGTATGTCAATCTAATGTTTGATTTCATAGTCATATACACTTTCACCACTTAATTAGGAATGGCCTGGCTAATTTATAAAACTTTAATTTACTACACACTAGAAGTATTTTAAATACTTTTTGAATATGAAAGGGGTCCGCCCTGGATTCTGTTCTGTGAAAGGGTCCGATGGGTAAAAAGTTTAAGAAGCCCTAGACGCCTTCGTTTAGCGGGTTATACCATACAGGAAGACCGCGAAGTCGTGATGGTTTAGACTAGATTTTGCCTTATTTCTACCACGACAACAAGAGTATTTATCATTTCTATACCTTTTTCTTTTGATTTTCAATGTCATGTTGACTACAGCAGTTTAGAAGCTGTAGTAATTGGAAGAAAAAAATACATACTACTAAATCATCATTTTAGCTCAATTTTTAAATTAAATCTTTTAAAAATCTATGTAAATAATTTATTCCCTTTGAAAATAAATTTTTAATAAACCTCTAATTTTAAGTACTTATACGCGAGTTTGGGAAGCCCTGATATAGACGCCTTCGTTTCGCTGGTTATACCATACCGGAAGACCGCAAAGTCGTGTTGGTTTAGCCTAGCTTTTGCCTTATTTCCACAACAAGCGCATTTATCATTTTTGTATTTGGTTTGAGTTTACCTACCTATTGGTTCGGTTCTGCCCAATTTGATTTTTGTGTTTCGGGTTTTGTAAATAAAATGAAGTATGTTAATCTAATGTTTGATTTCATAGTCATATCCACCTTCACCACTTAATTAGGAATGGCCTGGCTAATTTATAAAACTTTTAATTTACTACATACTACAAGTATTTTAAATACTTTTTGAATAGGAAAGGGGTCCGCTCTGGATTTTGTTCTGTGAAAGGGATCCGATGGTTAAAAGTTTAAGAAGCCCTAATATAGACGCCTTCGTTTCGCTGGTTATACTATACTTGAAGACTGCGAAGTCGAAATGGTTTAAACTAGCTTTTGCCTTATTTGTACCACGACAACAAGCGCATTTATCATTTTTATATTTGGTTTGTGTTTACCTACCTATTGATTGGGGTCCGCCCTAGATTTTGTTTTTTAGAAAGAAATACGATGGGTAAAAAATTCGAGAACCGCAAATATAGACGCCTTCGTTTCGCTGGTTATACCATACAGGAAGACCGCAAAGTCGTGATGGTTTAGACTAACTTTTCTTTTATTTCTACCACGTCAACAAGAGCATTTATCATTTCTATATCTTTTTCTTTTTATTTTCAATATCAAGTTTGTTTAGAAGCTGCAGTAATTGGAACAAAAAAAACACCTACTATTAAATCATCAGTTTAGCTCAATTTTTAAATTAAACCTTTTAAAAAAACTATGTAAACAATTTCTTCACGTTGTAAATAAATTTTTAAAAAATCTCTAATTTTAAATGGTTGTATGCGAGGAGTCCATCCTGGATTTTTTTCTGTTAAAGGAGTCCGATGGTTAAAAAGTTCGCGACGCCTTGTTTTCGCTGGTTATACTATACGGGAAGACCGCAAAGTTGTGCTGGTTTAGTCTAACTTTTGTTCTATTTCCACCACGACAACACGCGCATTTATCATTTCTATTTCTTTTTTTATTTATTTATGTATTTAATTTTTTGTACAGTTGGTAGCAGAGGTGAGGAGCATCTCGGTGCCGACGGGCAAGGAGACACCTATCACCCCGGCCAAATCTACACCGAGGCCGACGTACCACAAACGAGTACTGGCACCGGCGCCAGTAAGCGAGTACACCGATGAAAACCCGGAACCGGCTCCTCTCGACCCAAGCTACGTACCGATCACATACAAGTTCATCAAGGCTCTCGCCGCTGATAAAATCTACTACGTAAGAATTTTCAATTATCGATTCTTACTATCTAATTAATTTATTTACAAAAACAAAGCAGATTCAAGGATTTAAACGTACACTGATCAATTTCACCTTTCTGATTGACTGAAAATTTCTTCAGATCTACTACAAATGTGTCAAACTGCTTCCTCTCTCTCCCTCTCCCTCTCATTCTCTCTCACTCCCTCCCTTTCTCTCTCTCTCTCTCATTTAATTCATTTCTCTCGTTTTCATTCTCTTTTTCTCTCCCTTCCTTCAACACTATCTCCCATTCTCCCTCTATCTCTCTCATTCTCTCTCTTTCTCTCTCTCTCACTTTCTCTCTCTCTCTCTCTCTCTCTCTCTCTCTAACTAACTAACTATCTATCTAATCCTTTATTTACCTCTATTTCTCACTCTATTCTATATTTACTTCTCTATCTCTACTTTTCTATTTGTTTCTTTATATTTCTTTCTTTCTCCACTTTTTCAATTCTCTCGATTTCTCTCTCTCTTTTTCTGTTCCTTCCCACATCTCACTCTCACACTTACTATTCATTTGTCTGTATCTCTCTCCCACTCTCACTTCCTTTTCTATTTGTTTGTCTCTGTTTCTCTCCGCCTTTTCATTATTACTTATTTCTCTATTTTTCTATATTTTCCTTGCTATTATTTATTTATATTTTTTAAATGCCTTTCTCTCGTTTTCACTCTCTTTTTCTTCCTTCCTTCAGCACTATCTCCCATTCTCTCTCTCTCTCTCCCTTTCTCTCTCTTTCTTTCTTTCTTTCTTTCTCTATCTCTCTCTAACTCTCTTTCTTTCTTTTTTGTTTCTATATTTCTCTCTATTATTTCCTTTCTAAAATATTTATTTGCTTACATTTCCCTCTCTATCTATTCCTTTATAATTATTCCTCTCTATTTCTTTCCGTATTTTTCATTTCCATTATTTATTTGTGCATGCTCTTTCTACGGGTATTTTATACTCGTCTGCTTTTCTTGTTTCTACTCTTTATCGGTCACTTTACTTTCTCTCCTCTCTCTCTCTCTCTCTCTCTCTCTCTCTCTCTCTCTCTCTCTCTCTCTCTCTCTCTCTCTCTCTCTGATCTATGTCTTTCTAGCTTCTGTTCTCTGTCTTTCCCTCTCTTTTTCTCTTCTTTTTATTTGTTGCTATTTACACAAACCGTTGCACTTTGAAAACACTGCAGCTTTTTATTGAGATCACTGTACTGTACGGTGTGCTGTATAAATTGATTTAATGTATATGTATGTCTATATGTAAATTTTTATATTTCAGATACCGATTGCAATTAGGAACGTTCCGTTCTACGGAGCCTCCGATGAAGGCGAGGAACCGCCTGTTGTGGCTTACAGGACCATCGAATACTTCCCTAAGAAATACGACTACAAGTACACCAAACAGAAACCGTCCTACTACGTACCCAAGCCGTACCCGGTCCAGAGGGTGCCTACGAAAGGCGGCTACCCAAAAAAGGCGACAGCTCAAACGGACAAGTACTATTACTACGAAAATCAAACCCAATAGTCTTTAAAAGGTCCGCAAATTCGGGAAAGTAAGGATAAAACAGGAATTCGTAAGTGTCAAAATTTATTGTTCGGACTATTTTCATCTGTCTTTTGATCCGTTTTTTATTATTAATTTCCCGATCGATAGAAATAGTCCGTACAATAATCAACGTCGAAATGCGCTCAAAACTAATTTATGTCAAGTTTGTTTTGAAGCTGTAGTAATTGGAAGAAAAAAAAACATCTACTACTCAATCATCAGTTTCGCTCAATTTTTAAATTACACCTTTAAAAAAAACTATGTAAATAATTTCTTCCCTTTGTAAATAAATTTTTAAAAAACCTGGTTTCCGTGTTTCCTGTTTGGTCAAATTTTTAAAAGAATTTATTTGTTCTTCCTTTTTAAAATTATAGAATAAATGTTTACGCAGTATTTTAAAATTAGTTTAAGTATTTTTTTTTTATATTCAGTATTTTATTTTTCAGGAAATATGTTGCTTTCCTACTTGTTTAATATTACGCCTACCTCATCAAAATTACATTAGAATTTGTCTTTTCTTCTGTAGAAAGTTTTTTTTTGGTTCTTGAAGAATTGCAATCTTTCTCTTAATTTACCATGTTAATTATTAAAAACCACAGTGTGCCATTGAAATTTAAATTATGTACTTTTTCTTTTGTAGATGGAATAAAATAACTACATATTTTGTACATTTTGTTAAGCGAGTTAACCCCCATGATCACATTTGTCCTTTTTTTAATTTTACAGATGCAATTTAATTTATTTTTAAACGGGTAAAAGTGGGCAAGGTAAGTTTCAAAGTTTTAAGACTACCCTGAAGCATTTTAGAAAATCAGTATTTTTTAATTTATAGTATAAAATAAAATTGTTCAGAATTCATGGTGCAGATCATTTCTGCTTTAATTACAAGTATAAGATTTTCAAGTAAATGTTGTTTTATTTTTTACCTTTCAATATTAAAAACCAGTACCAGTTGTACCAAACACAGTAATACAAAAATTATACAAAACTTTACAAAATTAAAATTCTGCATAACATGGGCAACAAAGACTGACATAGGTATCTTAAGATGCATCAGAAGCACCAAAACTCCTGCACAATTGGATTTGAATATGGATTTTAAAAATCCTTTCCTCCACTGCGAAGTCTGATCAGATCAACGTGTTTTTTTCCTTTTCGATCATGTACCTTGTTGACCCCGATCTCCTGATCGACGAAATTGAAAAACGACCTACATTGTAGGATTGTTGCAATTATTATCTTTATTTCAGCTCCTTCATATCTGTCACAACCATTACAAATATCTATATCTCATCAACCAACACGGTCTACACTTACCAGTGATTTAGAGTCGGTTTTACCGTCGAGCAGTTCAGCATCGCAGCAGGAGCTTTGTTATACTTGTCTAATATCTGGAGCTTTTTACTTGTTATTCAATGTATTTTTAAAACCGTCAGGTTTCATGGTCCGATTGACCAAATAACTTCTTTCAATTAATTCATCTTTATGGAAGGTATTGGTTGAAATAAAAAAGCCAGTGTCACGAGCGGGATTCGAACCCACGACCTTTGGCTAAATACGCCGCTGCTCTACCACTTGAGCTATTGTGACTTCGAGCCACTCGGACACTAACTTCCCATCTTAACCCCACCTTTTTGAATTTTCCCTCCTATTTGCCATTTTTCAAATGTCGTGTAATCCATTCGCTTTTCGGCGACAAATGAAATGGCCATGGGCTGCTTGAACTGAATTCTCCTGGGTACTGATGTCCACCGTAAGTACTATAAGGTGATGGTCCTTGGTAGCTGAGAACGAGATGGTTTTTCGAAGGTGTAAGGTGAGTAGCTTCCAGGAGTTGATCCAGGGTGGAGGGCATTGTACGAAGCTCCTCCGTTTGAATACTGAGAATAGCTTTTACAAGTTAAGAGTTCACAGACGGACTTCCTGGATGCACTTGGCCCAACGGGCTTCCGGATGGGTTTGGCCCGTGGGTGGATGAACTGTGGCTGCTCGCTCCTCCATAGAACAAATGAAATGGCCACGGAGAGCTTTAGTGAAGATAAATATTTCATTTGTCGCCAAAAATCAAATAGATTACAAGACATTTGAAAAATGGCAAATTGGAGTGAAAATTCAAAAGGTAGGGTTAAGATGGGAAGTTGGTGTCCGAGTGGATCGATGTCACGATAGTTCAAGTGGAAGAGCAGCGGCGTATCGAGCCGAGGGTCGTGGGTTCGAATCCTGCTCGTGACACTGGCTTTTTTATTTCAACCAATACCTTACATAAAGTATTTTTAAAAGTTGATGCACTCTTGTTCTGAAATTTCAATATTATCAGTGTTTTATGACGAGTTGGATGAAATCCCTCACACTGAGGTCTTGATGAAATATCACTTTTAATCAAGTGCAAAAAATATTCAAGTGCTTAATTGACATTCTAAATTAATTGAATGATTTTGGTTCATAATTACGTAATTTTGGATAGAAAGTAACATACATACTACTATTCTGAAATCGTGAGGTGCGGTCTGGTGTGATGTAGGTTTCAGAAAAAAATTTTATCGTGCCAACGTTTCGATCTTTATTGAGATCATCTTCAGAGCTCAAAGTGTTTGTCTTCTGTGTAATTGTGCCATTCTTGCGTGTCGTGTTGAGAGTGCCCACGACACGCAAGAATGACACATCTACACGGAAAACAAACACTTTGAGCCCTGAAGATGATCTCAATAAATATCGAAACTTTGGTACGATAAAGAAAATGTTTTTCTGAAACCTACATCACACCAGACCGCATCTCACGATTTCAGAATAATTATCGATTAACGGTCACTAACCACCACACATTTATACATACTATTTCTACATATTATTCTTTTAAAATAGGATGGGCCCAATACTTCTTTTGGCACTGAATTCACAGTTTATAGCAGTAATAGAGATACCACAGACAAACGATTTCTTCGACTTCCATCGTAAAATTCTCTTGTCCAAGCAACCGTTTATGCACCGCTAGATTCAACATCCCATGTGTACTAAGCCGTATAGATCGATTGTGGAACCCATATAAATCGTAGCCAGCCCTTGGAAAGTGCACTTTTTCCTATAAGCCTAAGCGCTTTCCTCAGTGCCACTTCACACACCTCTTTTTGTATAAGAATTGCCACACCTAAGTGGCTTTTCAGCAAACGGACTAATGTAATTAACTACTAATGTATTGATAAAAATAAAGAAAAAGTCAGTACAAACTGGCCTATCGTGGAATGGTTGTTAAGCTTTCAACTAGATTGCGCCATGTGTCCTACTTAGGAAGAACAGACAAATTTAATACTTTAAACTTAGATCGTAATGAAGTTGAATTAATGTTTCTGTACATACAAGTAACTTGAAAATATATGAAGAAATATTATGCTGAATCTAACTCAAAATTGTGTGGAACAAATGCAAATTGCTTGAAAATTCATGAATTGGTCATTTTTTCAGGCAATACTAAGTTAAATATGTTTTCGTATTTTCTTGCATTTGATAAGACTGCCCATTATTTTATCCAGTCTTAAAGAATGACGTGGGGGCATTGTTGGCATTTATTTATTACTATTTATTTTTATTTTATGTGTTTTTGTTTGTTTTTTAACACCGACACTTCATATAACCTCGAGGTTGAAATACCAAAAATGACTAATGACTAAAACATGATGGAGTGTACGTAAGTGTACCTTTCTTAAGTATAATAAATCTGAAATTAACTTGCGTATATACAAATGTCTTTTTTTTTACAAATAAATTAGGAAGATTTACTGCCCAGAATGGGGTTGCAAATAACAAAAATATTAACTTAACTTTTGAGTATTGTCAACCTCTGTTATTTACAATATTCGATTTAAAAAAGCTTTAGTAGTACTTTTTTTAAAACAAAGCTTAACGCTTAACTTCACGGTATTATATATATATGTATATATATATATATAATAATGTAATACANACATTAATAATATATTAGTAAATTAATTATAAAATTAAATAATAAAAATTGAATTAATTAATTTTTACGTGTAATATTATTTAGGTACATATTTAAAATTGGAGGGAAATCGAAATCTATTATATTTTGGTGATTAGTGACCGTTAATCGATAATTATTCTGAAATCGTGAGGCGGTCTGGTGTGATGTAGATTTTAGAAAAACATTTTCTTTTTCGTGCCAACATTTCGATCTTTATTGAGGTCATCTTCAGGGCTCAAAGTGTTTGCTTTCTGCGTAATTCTTGCGTATCGTGTTGGGAGTGTCTCTCTTTGACTGTGACACTCTCAACACAACTTACAAGAATGACACATCTAAACGGAAAACAAACACTTAGAGCACTGAAGATGATCTCAATAAAGATCGAAACGTTGGCACGATAAATAAAATGTTTTTCTAAAACCCACATCACACCAGACCGCATCTCACGATTTCCGAATAATTATCTATTAAATTATTAACTCATTTACCTCCATGTTCAATTTTACATTTTTTAATTTCAAATTTCTCAATCCAATTGCCTTTTTTGAAACTATGTAACACTGTTGTATTTAAATTGAAATTGAAATTGTGTTTTGTTTCTTTTAGGTTGTCTTTAAATTCTTAAAATTTGCTCGATTTAGGCAAGTGTTCTTTAACTCTCGTTTTTCTTTCTCTACCGCTTTCTTCTATATTAAATATTACATAATATATAAAAGTCATACATAATATATTAAAGTCACAATCATTACAATTAATTTGGTAAACCCAGCTTTTTGCCAAGTGTCAAGTCTTTCAATTAATTAAGATTTTAGTTGAAAAAAAAGTCAGTGTTACGAGCCCTCGACCTTCGGCTAGATACGCCGCTGCTCTACCACTTGAGCTATCGTGACTTGATCCACTCGGACACCAACACACCAACTTCCCATCTCAACCCCACCTTTTGAATTTTCCCTCCTTTTTGCCATTTTTCAAATGTCGTGTAATCAATTTGATTCTCGGCGACAAATGAAATGGCCTCGGAGAGCTTTAGTGAAGCTGACATTTCTTTACTTTTTGCTGACAGTTGCCCAATGTATGGCAAACAACGAAAACCAAGTTATGGTGGGGTAGCTGAGACCTATTGTTGCTTCTTTTAAAGTTAATTTTTTATTATTTTATGTAGCAACCTCTCATTAAATATTTCTTGATATCCATTGTTTTTGCTCAAGTTTTAGTCGTTTGTCATTCTTTTTTATATCTAGTTCGTAAGTGTTAATGAGAGTTTTAAAATACGGTCTATGAGCCAAATGATTATCATTTCTATTTTTCAGTGCAGTTCTTAATTTCTTAATGGTTCGCAATGATCAGAATCGATAACGCCTTGAAAAATATTGTTATATTATTAATATATTTTTTAATATGTTATATTAATTAAAGTTCTACCTCTTCTAACTTAAGTTACTTCTTGTGTGTGTGTGTGTGTGTGTGTGTGTGTGTGTGTGTGTGTGTGTGTGTGTGTGTGTGTGTGTGTGTGTGTGTGTAAAACGGTTGTTAAATGTGGTTTAGGCATTGACACGGCGCTCATCACTGTAAGGAAAAGGTCACAAGTTCGAATCCAGCGGCCCTGCTGCATTCGAACCCGACATACTTACAATGGGCTTTTTTTCAAAAACACCGGCACTCCTAGGGTTGATATAACCTCTACTGTTGCGAACCCTCATTTAAAAAAAATATATATATATAATATAATAGTAATATATATATATATATAAGCAAATCACTCAAAGATGTTTTATTTTGAATTTTAAAGCAAGTATAGATGACAAGGATATTAGAATAATATGCTGATAACTATTTTGTAAAAGATTAGAGATTTACATAAACCGAATTAAAACTTAACACATCTGCCTTAATACAATTGATTAACATGAATCTCTCATAAAATGTTTAAAAAATTAAATTAGTGAAAACGGGTAACAACGGGAGATCAGCAAGTTAAGAAAACTAGAAAAATATGGGGAGATCCTGAGACATATGTAAAAGGGAAAACAATAGCGATATTAGTCATCGGAGATGTCATACTGCAAATTCATCGTGCAGAATAGAAGAGGGAGAGAGAGAGAGAGAGAGAGAGAGAGAGAGAGAGAGAGAGAGAGAAATAGGGAATGAACGGAACTGAAATGACAAATTTCAAAATTTGTTTAGATTTTTTTATTAACAATAACAAATTTGACTAATAAATAATAAATTAACGCATAATTACAGTTATTATCTTCTAATGTAATCAGACGCTGTTAAAGTGACTGTATTGATTATCATTTCACCCCCCAGTTTTTTTATATTTTTTTTTTGTTTATTTTGCTGTTTCTTCAGAAATGACAAATCACAGCCAGTTTTAAAGTCATGTCCTTCGCTTAAAACAGATCTGAAACAAGGATTGAAAATATTATTAATTCAATTATAATTAACCTGTTAAAAAAAAATATTGCCTTGTTTCATTTTTACAGTTTAATTCTTCTTTATGTTGTCTGTTTTATGTTGAGAAAGGATTTATCTTAAAAATGAACGATCACTTATGCCACAAAATAACAAAGGCATTTTTTTCGTAAAATTTTATTTTCGTATTAACTTCACCGTAAGAAGTGGATGGTCCTTTTTTACTCTTAAATAAAAATTAGCATAAAACTTGAAGGCTTTGTCTATATTCTTGAATATTCAACAATAGAAATATATTAAATATTTGAAGGAAAAAAATATTTCAATCGAATTGGCTCTTTCAATAATGATCTGTAAACCAGTTTTAGCTAGACCAAAGGCAACATTCAATATAAGTTTATTAAAATATTATTCTCAGGCCTTCTTTTAAGGTAATAAATATTAGCGATTTGACAATGAAGTTAAGAGATATGACTTACCAGAAAATGCGTATGCAGCGACAGGCTTACTGCTCGCACCTTTGTACGGTCCTTTATAAGAATAAGGTTTGGAGCTGTATGCACTGTTAGAATAGCCGCCCGGTCTGGAAAAGCTGGAGGTTGAATATTTTCCAGAGTATCCTGGATACCTCGAAGGAGAGTAGCTGTGCGGTTTATAGCTCGAAAAGCCAGAATAGGGCCTGCTGTAATACCCGGTTGGCTTATAAGGCGAGCTGTATGGTGTCTTTGGTGGTCCGTATCCGAATTGAGTTGGGCTGGTTGAGCTGAATCCTCCAGGGTATTGATGTCCACCGTACTGCCCACCGTAAGCACTGTAAGGTGATGGCCCTTGGTAGCTGGGACGAGATGGTTTTTCGAAGGTGTAAGGTGAGTAGCTTCCAGGAGTTGATCCAGGGTGGAGGGCATTGTACGAAGCTCCTCCGTTTGAATACTGAGAATAGCTTTTATAAGCGTCAGCTCCACCGGGGCCGAAGGTCTGCGGTCCGTGTCCATGATGAGCTTGGCCTAAGTTCACAGACGGACTTCCTGGGTGCACTTGGCCCAACGGGCTTCCGGGTGGGTTTGGCCCGTGGGTGGATGAACTGTGGCTGCTCGCTCCTCCATATGACGGTTTGGCCTGGGCACCCTGCGTCGGAAAGGCAAACGGTGTCGACTGGCTTTCGCTTCCGAAACTTCCGGCGTTGTAGCCATCCGCGCCGTGGTACTGTTGCCCTTGGTATTGCTGGTTGGATGCCGAATAAGGATTGTAAGGATTGGTATATGCTGATGATACAGAGGCAGGTTCTTTCTGTACCGATGAGTACGTGCTGGCAGCAGCTTTGTAAACGTTCTGTGTGCTCGGGTTGTAGTTGTTAAAGCTGAAACCAGTATTCTTTCCGCTCACGGCGGAATTCGCCGTAGCGTCATCACCAAGAAAACTGCTTATGCTGTTTATGTCAAACTCCTCAGCCTTAACTAAAACAAAAATACCGATTAATTCATAATTATTTTTTACATTAACAACATTTTGAATCTTGTCTGGTCTGTACTGAGGGAGTTTTATTCATCGACGATACTCCATTAATTAGCCAATACCAGAGGACAACAAAAAAGAGTTACCTCTTACTGTAATGCGAATAAATAATTGACTAGGTCTTTATGTTTTCTTGAAAGTTGACAATATCGTAATCAATGATCGCTCCTTAAGATGGCGAAAGTGGAAAAGCAAAAAAAAAAAATAATAAAGCTATGTGGACCGTGGTAATCAGAGATAATCAATAAGCTGCTCAGACAACTTAGTAGAAGATCCTACTTGTGGATGTAAATTCTTCCCGATGAAAGAGACATAAATTATCCTCTTAATTTCTAATTCAGCCGGGCTTTCGTTTTCTTCGGAAGAACGCCGTCCTTTTTTCGAAATAAAAGTAGGAGTGAATTTCTGATTTTCACTGTCAAACCGGAAACCCTTCGACCGTACGGGGCACGGTCACATGCGTGAATCCACGGATGAAAGTGGTTCCGGACGGACCGGATCGGCTCGACCATGAAAAAACGTTCATGTTTCATGTTCATGCACACCGGGGAGAGGAGAGAGAAAAAAAACACAAAACGATTATGACTGCACGTCCAGGCAGTTTTCAACAGGGTAATTTCGCTTTTCGCTTTCGCTTAAAAGATTTTTTGACTTTCTTCGCACTCTGGAAAAGAAATGAGTGGTCAAGAGTCGGAGAGTATTTACACTGTCCAATAAACATGCCAAACAGCATAAAACAAGGTGGGGTTTTTTTAAAGGAAAATATTCGTACGCTACTTATTTCTGGCGTAATCTTCAACAGGCCTACATCATGGAATGTTACATATTTTCTGTTTCTATTAAAATTGTTTAGATAAGTCTTGACATAAAACATTTGTTTTTTAAATTGTTGTTCCCAGGATCTCTATAAACTATGATGTACTATTTGGACCAGACTAAAATACCAAAGCAGATTTCACTAGCCAGTGGGCAGCTTTCTATTCGAATTTAATTTTTGCGTATAAGTCATCATGAGCCCGCTTTCCAAACTAAACAGAAAACGGCAATTAAGTATCGACGCAATGTCTGACGCCCTTTGAAAATGACCAGTCGAGATTTAGAGAGTGAGATTGTGAAACCTTGATAGCCCTTAATGTGCGATGATATAAATAGAAAAAAAGAAGAAGCAGGTTTGATACCGGGAGAGAGTTTTTCAGAATCACTTTCTTTCCGCTGGCGGATTCGAAAAGACCCCTCTGAGGAAAGTCTGAATCCGTCGAGGCCGTTCACACCCGGAGTTTTACAAGCTGTTTTAATTGGGTATATGCCCGGTCTGACCGTTGGCTCGTTTCCTTTCATCCAGGGCCGGAAGTTTCTCCCGAGGAGGACGAGGTGAAGATCGGATCCTTTTTAATCCTTCTAGCATGAAATCCGGGACGCGGAAGGTGAACATGATTGTGGGAAATCGGGTTTCGCGTTGAATACATAAACGTGAGTCATAGTTCACATGCGTTTTGGGTTGCGCTTGCCAACAGTTATCAATAAACTAGAACGCATGTGTTTTTTGTTTTTTTTAAACTTTGAAACAATTCTGCTCGCTTTAAACCTTATTTCTCGAAACAAATATCAAAAGCAAACCACAAGAAAGCAGACACCTGAAGAGTCAAGGTCTAGTTAAAGGCAACATAGAAATTCACCACTGTGTCAATGTCTGTTGGCTTTGAGTAATTCACGAATAATGCTCATTTCCACAGATCGTAAAGATCTTTATCTACCTAATTATAAAAAAGTCATCACGTCAAGTGCAAATTGTAAAACACGTGTAGACTGAAAGATAGATTAAGTCCCATTCATTTCCACAGATCATGAATATTTTTTAAACTCTATTTTATTATATTTGATGTTTAAATTTAAGTCAGGGGCTTTCAGTATTTTTATATAATCAAAACAAACAAAAATCTGTAATCTATTTGCTATGTTTGGAAAAACTTAACATTTGAACAAAAAAAATTTTTTAACACGAAATAAAGTCGATCTTCATTTTTTGCACCCGAAAAAGCTCTGAATACAAATGTTTTGAAATGTAGAAATTTTCAAAATCACAAATATACATATAATCTTGAAACAACTTAACCGATCTACTGGAGACTTTGCAGGAATTTAAAACCTATAAACTACACGAAAATGAAGGCATAAGCTATACCTTCGTAAATAAATCAGAGCCTTAGATTTAAATTAAAATGTTTGGGAAGTTTTTGTTAATTCCATTTTTTTTCTCAGTGTCTGGCTAAAATTGTTAACATAGACTAAAAGTAGAGAGATTTACCTTCGAACAGTTGTAATAACTTTTTAATTAATTATATTTTTCTAAGGTCTTGGATGAGATGAAAAAGCTAATGTGACGAATAGGATTCGAACCCACGACCTTCCTCTCAATACGCCACTGCTCTAACCACTCGAGCTAATCACTTCGATCCTCCTGGATACTCATCCTCGTGGGTTCGAATCCCGTTCGCGACACTGGCTTTTCATCTCAACTAAGACCTTACATAAAAAGGATAAAATAGGTCAATTATGATGACTAAATACATACGTGGATTAATATAGTTGTAATAACGTTGAAATTGAATTAAACCTAGAGAAGTTACGAATTTTTAAGTCCGAAATACGGAAAATCGGAGAAAAAAATCGCCATGGGCTGATCCAACCGAAAAATTTTATTTTTTAACACTATCAAAATTCTTGTTTAAAGGGTGCTTAAAAAGAATCCGAAGTGTTTTTGTCAAAAACAGGAATTCTTTGGCCTATTTTACTGGAAGCGTCGTTTTTCAAACTTTTTATATATCTAATCTTACATGATACAATCCTGCGTATTATTATCATTTCGAACGAGAAAAAAACAAATAGATTAATATATAATAACTTTGGAATACATTAAAAAAAGGCAAAAAATGTATTTAATCTCGTAGCCTACCTTTGTAAGTTTTATTTTAAATATATCTTAAGTTATTTATTTTTTACGATATTCTGACAAACGTTTTTATAAATTGTGCTAGATATTATTATGAGATTTATTACGTTTTTATTAATAATCATCAAAACACACAGCAGGATTTCATCGATTTGAAAAAAAGTCGAAAATGGGGAGAAAATTATTGTAAAACTATTCTCTTAACTGATTGTGTTCCTTATATAAATTATTATTTATTTAACTAACTTATCTAATTAACGTCTTTAACACTAAAGTACATTTTATAGAAATAAAAGGAAAAACGACATTTTTAAAGAAAAAAGCTCCTTACCTTGGGGTCCTGCAAGGAAGAACACGATCAGAACACCGATAGCTAAAAATCTGAGAATCTCCTAAACAGTTAAAAATGTTCTTTGTAGTTTACGTGATTTGTAAAGTAATGGATCAAATGTAAGTTTAACGCGCATCTGGACCATAAACGAGGAGAAAAGGGTCGATGAAAGTCCGAGCAGGTTTTGCTGACCTGACGTTAAGTCTTGTTTGAAGTACTGTATTTTTAGAGCTAACTTGAATTTGTTCAAACTTATCGATCTACCTCGTTTACGGTAATCCTGTTGTTTGTCAAATTTTCAGTTTAAAATGCTCCCAACTCCTCGGATATCCACGGGCGCTGTAAAATCCGACAGACAACAGGACTCTTGATAAATAACGCCTAGAAAAATTATGTTTTTGTTTCATTTACCTTCGTCATGTTGGCTGTAAGGACGACTGGCGGGAGATCAACGTTCCGTTAATATATATAGGAGATCCACATCTTGAGAATCCTTTTGGGGGGAGTTGAGGGAAAGTATCCCCACTGCGCTTAGAGCCTTTTCTCCGGTGTCTTCGCGACGTAAAGACTCGGCGGTTGGTGCGAAATGTTTACGATTTAAGTAATTTCGAAATAATAACTCATAAGGTTAGATTTTAGGAATTAGAACCTAGAAGACCTAGATAGTTCAGGACGTCTTTAGATGCCATTATAAAACTAACAGATTTTTAATTTTTTTAAATTAATTTTTACTCATTTCATTAATTCAATAATAATTAAGTTTTCTAGTAAAACTCTCTATGGATAACTCTACGAAGAATGAATCGAATTTTTGAGTTAACATACCCATTTTATGTTATGGTCATAAGTTAACTGTACATCAAAGAAAGCTGAAGACGACTGAAAAACTTCAACAGCTTTTTTTTGCAAACGTTGTTCAAAAATAAAATTGCAGTTTCGTTTTTTGACATTTCTGTAGATTATGACAGATCGAGAATAATTATAATATAACCAGACCAATAACACATAGATTTAAGAGTAAAACTAACCAAGAGTTGTCATCTATAGCTAAATCACCTCTCCAGATAGAGTAAAATATAAACGAAGTTTTTAGGTTATAAGTTTAGTATACAATAAAGTCGAAAGCAAACCAAGTTTGGAGCAGAAAGATTTTCTTTGAAGGCTTAAAGTTGGCTTAAAACGAAGGAACTTGGGTAAAATTTCGTTTCGAGAATGGACAAAAGATCCATTTATTGACGGTTCTGTAGAATAATACAGACCAGCAAGAATCATAAAAGATCCACGTCAACATCCCGTAGCCAAACACTCATTTTTTCTGACACACCTGTAGAATTAAAAAAAAGAACACCAGTGATCAAATCAAGTTCTCATTGATGTAAATCAAAATTGTTATCCATTTATATAAAAAAAGGTCAGAATCCACTCAAGGGTTTGACCTGAAAGACCAAAACAGCTTGGTAGACAGCAAAACTATAGATTACCACCTCTTACAAGTCCTCCTAAGATCAGATTAAAGCATTAGCATGTAAAAGAATCGCATCAAAATTAGTCAGTGAATGCATCCAAAATCTCCAAAACCTGGGGAAACACAATAACCTGATGATATCATGGGTGCCAAGGCACAGGGGAATTTTCGGTAACGAGAAAGCAGACAGACTAGCCAGAGGAGGATTTGCAAGACCATACATAAGCCCTGAGCCTATTCTTGGGATAACAAAAACAAATATAGAATCCTCCATCGCAGAATGGATCCAAGCAAAACAAAAGAAGAAGTGGATACACTCTAGCGGTGCTAGACATAGTAAACTTATGATGAAACAACCCTCACCAAGACTGGCAAAAGCATTGCTATAATTGGAGAGGGCCAAACTCAGAGGAGTAGTGGGACTACTAACCGGTCACTGGCATCTGAGAAAACATCTACACAACAGTATATACAGCAATGAATCCATTTGCAGATTATGTAATGAGGAGGAGGAAACAGCCACTCATATCATCTTCGAATGCGAAACAACAGCTCAATGGAGATTTAACCTAAAATACGGAAAAAACTTAGAGAATCAAATTGCAGCAGCGACAGTCAATTCTAAGAAGAAGGATTGAGTCTACTGCACTGAACTAAGGAACTAGGAAGGTACAATAAGCCAGAAGTCTGCAGTGCCTGGGGAGTGCAAACCCCGCTTCCTAATATCCTTCTTCACCATACCATACCTCTTACAAGCAATGACCCTCTTCCTTAAGCATCTTGCGCTTCGCATTCGCATTTTTTTCCTTCTTGAATCAAAGATAAGTAATCTTATCGGTGCTTAATCCTAAATCTACCTAAACTAACTCTAACCTTACCCTCATATAACCTAATCTAAACCGTCCTCAACATTAACCTAACCTAACTCTATCCTTACCTAATAATCTTAATCCGTCCCTAACCATAACCGTACCTAACCTAACCCTCAACCAAGCCTAACTTATGCGCACTCCTCAGTAACGCGAAAGCGAAGACGCAAAACTGGTAATGCAAAAAAATGTGTATACCCCCAAAACATTCACGTAAAAGAAAAGTAATTCCGGTCAAACAGGAGGGCTTAACGTCCAACTACCGGATAGACGAGTGTCAAACCGCTTTGAAATACATTTTTAATCTTACAATTAATTAAGGTTTTCAGTTGCGATAAAAAAGTCAATGGCACGAGCGGGATTCGAACGTACGATCTTCCTTAATTAATTGTAAGATATTAATTGGTCAAGCGGACCACGAAACTAGTAAATTTAATACATTTTTAATATTATTTTGAATTTAAAAGTAATAGGCTATGACGGATTTTGAACCCGGAACATCTAGCGCGGTAGGTTCTAGCAATCCATGTTAAAAATGACAAATTTCGTCAACGATGGGGTAAAAATTATTATATTTTGACTAAGTAAGACAAAGCTACATTTGAAATTGAATTGAACATTTGAAATGAACAAAGAAAAAGTTAGGTAAAGCAGAAGTTGAAATAAATACAGACAGATTTGTAAGGGTTTCTTCAAGAATATTTGGTCATGTAACTTTTTTTTTATATAAATAAAAAAACCTTAGGAAGATTTTGTGTTTTTATTGTTTATGTTTGTACTAATTTTTACGTTTCTTATAAAGAAATTGTAATATTAGAATTAAAGTTAAATTGAACAAACAATTGATCGTTTCTATAAGGTTTGAACAAAGATTTTGTTTGAATAAAGATTGTTTTTACAGTAAACTATTATCTAGAAACTAGCCGCTTGCATAAAATCATTATTAAAATATAAAGCTTAAAACAGCGGTGATGACCAAAATCATATTTTCATCAGGTCCTTTACCACCAGCGTTCGTTGGTAACTCACCGAAACTGCCGAACTTTAGCTAGCAGTTCTTCCAAAATTGAAATTTTCCTACCAGAAAGGTTATTTATAGGATGTGACAACGAATTTGCTTTTATGACGCAGAGATTTATGCAAAAAATCAATTTTTTACAGTTTTGTATGTGTTAATAAAAAACATTTTAATATCTCAAATTATCCTATTAAGTGTGTGGTGTATAGTACAAATACTTTGATTGAATCTAAAATTTTCTAGCGTTGTATAAATTCATCCTTTTTTAAATCTAAAAGTTTCTGTTAATACATAAATTCATTTTTTTAATCTAAAATTTTCTAGCATTGTATAAATTCATATTTTTTGTAATCTAAAATTTTCTAGCATTGTATAAATTCTTTTTTTTCCTTCACATCCTACATGTATTTGTGAAATTTGAACAGTGTTCCTGAAGATGATCTCAATAAAGGTCGAAACGATGGCACGATAAAGAAAATGTTTTTTCTAAAACCTACGTCACCCCAGACCGCACCTCACGATCTCCGAATAATCATATCTGATTAAGGGTGGATATTTAACTAAAAATTATTCATTAGCCGAAATAGACAGGACTTCTTTTTATCATTTTCCATCAGAATAACAGGACCAATTCCATAAAACATTCGCGTTAAATTATTAATGAAAAGAGGAAAAATCCCTTTTAATCATGACAACAAATGCCAAAATTTCGCTCATGACCGGGCAAAAATTTATGAACTTTTGCCGGGACAAAGCCGCAATTTTCTTTTAATACAGGAAAAACATTCCTTTGAAAATAGTTTGAGAAAATCTTGTAACAAATTTGCCTTAGAATGTCACAAGTTTATATAAAAGTGATATAATGATCATAATATTTTGTTACATGCAGATTTTTTTTGTAAATAACAGGGGCCTTAAGAACCTTTTTGTTTATACTGCTTTGTATCTTTTTTTTAAATCATGGTTGTATAAATTTTATTAAACCCTTATATAAAACTTTTGTTTATCATTGGATCCGCCTCTTCTAGCTTTTTTGTCCCTTTCTTTTTAAGATTACAAGAGCCTCTCTTTGTTAATCTGCATCATATTGTTTCTTTTTTTAACAAAACGTCCAAAGAAGGCGTCATTGAAGTGAAAAAGCCATCATAACCGGGCCAACAGAGTTATGACGAAACTTGACATTTCGTCAATTATTTTTCTTCACTTTTGTGACAAAAGTTCCGATTGTTTTCCATTGATCCTTTCAGCCTCGTTCGCCCCGAGTTTTGTCATCTCGCACATCTAGCAACAGACACAAAAGAGCCGGTCGCATGAAAATTCTATTGTGAATTAACATTGCCGATTCTCGATTTCAAAGGGACAAGAAAATATTACTTTGACTTTTTTTTTCTACTAAAAATAAAAGGCGAATGCAAATTTGCCACCCTTGGCTTTGACATTGGGAAGTGCGCTTATTTTCCGCTCTTATTAATGCTAAGACCTTTCACTTCCACGGCCTCTCTTTCAATCCGCCGGGAGACTCTTCCTAAAAAAAGAAAGTAAAAGTAAATAAGTACTAAACGGTGTCTCTTCCGGTTTTTATAAAATCACTCTCGCCGTTTATTAGGTGGTCTGCCATGTATCATAGTTCGGAAAATTGATTACCCTGGAATGCTAGAGCTGTACACATGAAAAAAATTTAAAATTTAAACCACCTAGCAAGTCTTTTTTTTCAAGTAATTAGTTATGCTTTGTCGGCTAAGTTAAACTCTCTGTCTTTCAAAAACAATATGACAATAATGCAAAGTATGGATAGTATGTGTCCAGAGCTAAAAATGCCAGTTGTTAATCTATTTTTTTAGTATAAGTTTAATATATGCAATTAAGTACAACATAAAATATTTATGTACTTACATAGAAAATGGCTTTTTATTCAAAATATCTCCTACATCCAGGGTTCATATAACCTCATGATTAAAATACCCTCTTAAGAAAAACTAATCGATTGATAAGTCCCAACTATTTTATTTGAAAATTACCATTATTATTATTATTTTTATCACACCCCCAAAAATTATGCATTTCCACAATTCAA